GAAAATGGACGAAAAGTTAAGGCTATAGGCTTACTTTTTTGCTGCTTTATGAAAAATGAGAAAAGTGGCTGAAAATGGACGAAAAGTTAAGGCTATAGACTTACTTTTTTGCTATTTTGCTGCTTTATGAAAAATGAGAAAAGTGGCTGAAAATGGACGAAAAGTTAAGGCTATAGACTTACTTTTTTGCTAGTTTTTGCTGTTTATGAAAAATGAGAAAAGTGGCTGAAAATGGACGAAAAATTAAGGCTATAGGCTTACTTTTTTGCTGCTTTATGAAAAATGGAAAAAGTCGCTGAAAATGGAGGAAAAGTTAAGGCTATAGACTTACTTTTTTGCTAATTTTTGCTGCGTTATGAAAAATGAGAAAAGTGGCTGAAAATGGACGAAAAGTTAAGGCTATATAGGCTTAATTTTTTGCTATTTTTTGCTGCTTTATGAAAAATGAGAAAAGTCGCTGAAAATGGAGGAAAAGTGACTTACTTTTTTGCTTATTCTCTTAAAATTGGCACACATCGTATGGGTACCGATTGTACGCAACCCCAGCATTGCAACTTATTAACATACAGAGTGTTTTCATGGCGACTCTGTTCAGGAACAAATCTGGATCGAAATTAATACATATTTGTTTTTTCAAAAGCGAGTTTGCTCCTTAACAAACCCAACATAAAAACACTCTAACCCTGGCGGTCTTTTCATTAGAAATGCTGTATTTACACTTAATGTGCTTGTAAATGTCGTAACAACTTGAATCTGAAGGCTTTGCCAGAAACGCACAACCCAGATTCAAATTGCAAAATGGCAACGTTTCGTACGAGTATATAATAGAGACCTTACGATTTTGGGACGGCAACCGCGACGGCGACAGCCAAAACAAACTCCTTCAAATAAATGGTAGTCGATAGTTTGTCGTATATTATCAATCGTATGAATTTAATACAGTCTTAGAAGTTGAAGACGTGGGTTTTATGGTTGGGAAGAGTTCTGCTAAACTAAAACCCAGTTTGAAGTTGCACTTGTTGTGGCTTGGAATGCAGCCGTTGTATCAACACGTGAAAATCTGTAATTTGGCGTTGTAAACAGAGCGAGGACAATGTCTAAATTATTCATTTATTGTAATTACTCAATTCTTTTCAATGATCTATTGTATTGGTAGCCGTTGCCGTCGCGGTTGCCGTCCTAAAATCGTAAGGTCTCTATTGCGCAGTTTCGACGCCTCTAAACTGTCTATCTCCCTAACTATTTTGCGCACGCGACGGACCATATTATCCGCATGCAACCGCCCTGAAAAGGAATATCCCTGAAGGTATTGAGCCGCAATGACCGCCATAAGAGAGGGGACCTAGTCACTGGTAGCGGACTGTTTTTTTCATGAAGTAAGACCGGCTACCAGGAAAATACATGCTTTACCTTACTACGGGAGAGAAAATGTTTAAAAAAAACTTTGCCGCCATAATTGTCTTATTCTCGCCGATCCAAACGACCAACATGATTTCCACCAAGTCTTCTTACGGGTACCATTTGCACCCTCTAAGCTATGGGTACCATTTGTACCCCCATAACCCCAAGACAAACGATGCCAGTTTTTTGAAAAAGGTTTACATGAGGAAAGTGACAAATTTCTTTTTTACTAACGAGCAATAAGATATTACAAAGAATCAAACAGCAATTTCCAGTCGTCGTTCAAAACTCTGGCAAAGCTTTTCTTGTACACATCCTGCCTCATGACCCTGTCTAAACTGTTGGGTTGCTGCATTTGTAATGACCATACACTCAATAACCATACAATCAAATGTTCTCTCTTTTCAGATCCGTTTTCAAATTCAGAAGCTGATGAATTTCGAAAGTACAGTTTTTGCAAAGAAAATCATCGTAAACTTTCATTCAAGCTATCAAAGTCTACTGAACAGAAAATAGATTGAATGTGTAAATATACTGAACATTTAGACCGCCAGGATTTATGCCGGATTTCATTGTACCCAGAACAACAAAACAAACAATGGCCTGGGTACAAGTATCTACAGCCTGCAGGCAAACAAGAAAGAACAGTACCTGAAAGTAGACATTTCTGTGACCTTTGTATGTCCATCAACTGAATATCCCATTACGGGGCCATATTTATCCATCATAGTCTCTTTGTATCCATTTAGTATAGTCACAATTCATCAGTAATGATCTGTAAAACAAGGCAAAAAATCAATTAATTCAGATATAAAACTTAAACCATTTTGGTACAAAAAATTAAACCATTAGGTTGTATACAGTGCCCTGATGCATGCTCTACTTGAGTATTTTACTGTCCAACGCCAGACGATTTTATGCTTCATAATGAGAATGCCCATATGCCTAGTTTATACCCATTAACTGCTAGTGCTCCCCCTGCTTAATAAAATTGTCTGACATTAGACAGAGTTAAATAATATAAGTAGGTAAATTAGGGTGCAAATCAACTTAACCCATCGAGTCGCATTGCACCCTGATGCACCCTACTTTAGTATTTTACTCTGTCTAACGCCAGACGATTTTACTCATCAAGGGGAGAGCGCTGGCGCTTAATGGGTTAATGGCTAAATGTGCTGTCTACATGATCCCAGTTTATCAGGACAGGATGAAAGGTGGGATGATTTTCATGTACTAAGTCACTAGGCTTGAACAAAAGTTCAAGGATGGTTAAAAGAACTCAAACTATGTTGTCCACACAATCTCATGGTAAAGATTATTTAGTCTATAACTAGGAGTTCTGTCGCACAATTATGAGTCTATAAGTAGAAAAATAATGTGAACCTTCTGAAAATTGTAAATTGTTCTTTTAATCAAAACAATTACTTTCAAATGATAAAAACATGAATTGGAATATTTTGGTCAAATCAAAAGAGGGGAACAGGGGATATTTCTGAATGTGTCGCCGCTGGCACAAATGCTGTGTATTTCATTGCAATTTCATTAAATTGCAATGAAATACACAGCATTTGTGCCAGGGGAGACACAGTATAGACAATTCTCAATTCTGGTTTATGAGCAGTAAATATTAGGACTAGAAAAAGCCTTCATATTACTTTGATTTGTTGTTTTACTTGTTTTTAATAAGATTATATATAAGCTTACTATGCTTTGATATAATTAAAATTGAAAAATGTGGCCATTGTTTTTATTGCATTTATCGCGATATTATCGAATATCGTGATAATTTCCTTGACAATATAATCGTGAGATGATTTTTTAATATCGCCCAACCCTACTCGGGATACAGTCATCCTTTGTAAAACGATGATTGGGCTAAGAAAATTTCAATATGTCATTGCTGTTGAAATGACTTAATTCATCACTAAGGGACTGCTCATAATTTATTGTACAGGGGGAGACTGAGGAGAAACTCTACAATTATAATATTTCTCGTTCAGCAGATTGATACATAAATATTAGCTTTTGAATCGTATTAAGATGGCTCTCTAGGGTTTTATTTCCGGGGTTACGTTCTTCGTATATATGTAAACTAAAATACGAACTGTAACGTTGTGTTTTATATGGAACTCTTTTTTGAAACAAAAGTGTGAACTTTGCTTTAGTTGAAAGCATAAAAGAGTTCTAAAAGCCAAAACGATACTTGGATGTCATGTTTCAAAAGAAGATAATGTAAACTTTTTTTTTTTCAAGCGGTATTCTGGATGTTTTTTGAACGGTATTCTCGCCGTATACGAGGTTCGATCGCAAACATTGGGATATGATATAAAGTTTCCTCAAGAATTTGCAGTGTTTTCTCCACAATCTAGCAGCACTTATGACAATAAGGATGACTTAAATAATGAGCCCTCTACGGGTGAAATGAGCAGGGCCAAAACTCCAAACAATTACCACTATAACAACTGAAATTTGAACGGGCATTTTGCGAAAACATCCGACAATAGTACTATAAACTCGCACAGGACAAATTTTGAAAACATTTTTCAAATACCAAGAAGTCATAACCAGTAATTACCTAAATATCTTTGCCATTTTTACATGTATAATCCACGCTTAGTTGACCATTAACCGACACAGTTATAAACAATATATCAAACATATTAATTTATATTTTGTGATTTCAAAAAAGTTATGTATGCCTTGTTGTTTTATGCAAAATGCATGTACACGTCAATTGGGGTAAATTGTTCGCGTAAAAATCTAGAAAAAATTGCCAAAATTAAACCCAAATTTCTCTGTTTTCCTTCGGTAAAATTTTTTAAAACTTTGCACATTTTTTAATATCGGCACAACAAGTGCAATATCCTTTTTCCTTAAAATTAAATCGAAGGGAAAATTTTTAATATTGATTTTTGACGTTTTTTAAGTTTTCTAAGAAACGTATCGATTTAATTTTTTTAAATTGTATTATCTTTTATGCAAAGTTTTAAAAAATTTCACCTAAGGAAATTTTAAAATGACCTGAAAAAGACATATTTTGAACTTTATTCTAAGCATGCTGTTGCCATGGCAACATATTTTTAAACACAAAAGTGTTATTTTCCGCTGGCTGAGGCACGAAAGAAGTGGAAAATGTTTTCTCACACACTGTTGGGGGCCTGATGAAATCAGGGTGTTACAAGGTAGTGTAGGTTATATGAGCATATTTTTGTTGTTGCTCACCGTAGCTTGACAGTATCCCGCCCACCCAGCCCTTTTATGTTTATTAGTACAGAACGGCGTTGGATTGGATATATATGTACCTGTTAGGGTAATTATTAAGCGAGCAATTGTAATGTATGGTAGTTTAAATTAATAAATGTCAAGCTTGCGGCTGACGCTGCAGCAGCTCCAAGCAGTGTGTGAGAAGTAGCAATTTGCAATGTTCAGGAGAACATTGTCAATGTGTCCAATAAATTTCGTCTTCATATCATGTAAAGTAAAGAAACAGGAGTCTCCTGAATACTATAGTGTAGTAAATTAAAAAACCCTAGGGAGCCACCTTAAATTCATATTACATTCAGGAAATAATTTTAATTCTTTTAAAAACTATATTTTCTAGGAATTGAAAGAATTTTTTAGGATTTTATAAAACCTATATACAAATGCGAAGCAATATAATCGTCATCGAGCATGACGATAATTTCGATACATCGTCGCTCAAGTTTCTACCTTCAACATGATAATCGCGAATGAAAATATCGCGATAAATCAAAATATCACCCAACCCTAATCCTGGGTGTCCCAAAAAAATTTGCAATGTTTGATTTAATTAAATAAATGTAACATAACGTCCCAGAACAAAACATCGAATGCTAAAGGCCGCGTTATGCCACGGGTTACACGGTGCAATTTTTCTTGCAACTTGCAATGCAATTCTACTCTTGAGAGATGTTAATTACCGAAATATGTGAAGAATTTTCGATATGTTGAGAAAACATCAGTAATGAAAACTCGTATTTGGTAATTTTACATCTCTCAAGAGTAGAATTGCATTGCAAGTTGCAAGAAAAATTGCACAGTGTAACATGGCCTTAAGCGACTGACTTGCAAAAGTCAAATTTGACTAACTTGCTAAAATATCAACATTTCACATCAAATTGATAGAAACAGAACATACCTTAATGCCTTTAGCTTCGGATGTTATGCTTGATCTTTAATGTACTTCTTTTCACAAACAGGCGAGGACTTCGAGTAAACTACACCAGGACGGCGAAATATAGAGCTACAACACACCCTAAATTTAAAAATATATATTTGAATACAATTTACTCTGGAATGCTATTTCTCTTTTAGCATAAAAATACAGACTTCTGATTGGTTGTGGGTATTTACAAAAGAATCTCCCTGATTGGTCAATAGATTGAATGCAGCAAACAAAATTATTTTCCCAAATGTATAATTTCTATGTCAATAATTCCCTTAGGAAATTTAAATCTTATTGGCATACAAAATATTATTCAGAATTTATAATTCCTATGCCGCATTGGCATTTGTAAAAAGCAAAGGTACACAGGAAACCTATTACGGGCAACCCTAGACTTGGCACAGTGGGGGCCACAGGAAAGTGCCTCAAAATCTTCAAAATGTTCTGAAAATTGTCAAGAAACATTTCTCTCATCATCAAAACAATTAGTTTCGACCAATAAAAATGTTTTAAATTTTCCCAAAATTCAACAAGTGCCCCAAAATCTTACAAACTTTCCGAAAATTGTCAAGAAACATTTCTCTCATCAAAACAATTACTGTTAAAAGTTCATGTTTTCCAGGACGCCATCTTCCTAGCAAGTGTTATGGCGTGAGCATGACGTGTACATCTAGGGAAATTTGAGGACACAAATTCCTATTAATTAAGTTACACATCTGGTATATACTTCATCTGTGGTATAAATTTTGCATATGAAATGGCTTTCGCACATTCTGAAGGAGCTTTTGCACATTCTGATTGGCTAGCAGACTAGTAAATGCTTTTCAAAAATAATGATTCGGCAAATTTGTTTTCAAAATATTGAAAAAATCGTCCCCAGAAAACGAAAGAAGCACAAAATGTTGTATTTATCTTGAAAATGTTGTATTCATCTTGAAAGGTAGTATTCCTATATTTTACTGTGTCAAACATATTCACAGACAATATAAAACTTATTTAAAACTTTGAAACATTTACTCAGCAAAAACAAATAACAAAAACTATCCCGACTGATGGGAAAAACCTTGAAATGATATTCCTTTAAATCCATTTTTTGTATCCTACAGATTTCTCAATTTGTTCGATACTATTTCTTTTGATATGTCATGTTTTCATTGTGTTGTATGTTGTTCTGACCACTGCATTGTGTTTTCGAAACTTGTTAAGTTAAAAGTGTTATTAAAGCTTTATTTCAAACAATATAGTTTTACATTTTATTTTACCAAATTTCTCAGCCATTTCTAAACAGAAACTATGTTTTAATTCTAAGTCTGTTGAAAATGTTATTCCGTTATTGTGTTTGTATTCTAAACAGAAATGGAGGAAAACAACTTTGTAATAAAGTAACAATTACTAACAAAAAAGCCATTTTGAAAGCATATGCACACAAGAAATACTGCAACATTCTGCAACACTATATTAAAATTAAGCTGGTTTTCCACTTCGCCCGTATCATACTGAAACATACTGGTGAGCATGTGCAGATTGAAAAGAGGTTTATAAATCCATGTACTTCCGGGTGGATTTACGTATCAAAATAAAAAGTTTGTTGCAAGTCAACTTTTTGGCATACTTTGGAAGTACTAACCAATCAACATTCAAGAACTTTTTGATATATGTTGTTACACTTGAAATGGAAAACCGGCTTTAGTCACAATTATAGGCCGAAAAAAGTTTTATTTCTGAATTTTAATTGAACTGATATTTGGATATATTGTTTTATTCATTAATTTTAAACATTTATACTAAAACAATTATTCGCCCCAGGCTCAGTGACTCGACTTTGTCTCGGTGCATATTTATCATTTATAGACCCGGAGCGAGGGGGATTCGCCGGAATATTACCCGAATTCGGCGGAATATTACCCATTTCCCGAGGAAATATCATCACTGTCACTGAGGGTAATATTTCTCCAAACCCCCGAGCAGAGGGTCTATAAACAATATGTATATATGTTATCATCTTCAACACTCGAAATAAATCTGGTATTTCTGCGCACCATGTATTAATATTCTCTATATCTCACGCTGCATTGCAAAATCATGAATTTGAGTGAAATACTGTAAAAAATCACATTGTCATGTGGTGCAAATGTTTTTTCATTGGGCAATTTGAATTTGAGGTATAATATTCACAGGTAATCACTTTCCCTTAGGGGAATAATTGTTTCAAAGATCTTCGGCACATTGCACTTAAAATGCACCCTGGGGCAGCACAAGAAATGTTCTCTCATCAAAATAATCACATTCAATTGATAAAAAACAGTTTTGAAAAATTTGGATCAAATGCAAAGAGAGACCACAGGCAAAAATCAAGATCTAGGCTGAGCACTGAGGAGGCGGACCACAGGAAATTTTCAAAAAATTCAGAGTTAGAATGTTTAGAAGATTGGTATCAGATCATTTCCCACCCAAGGCTTAAAATAAAATACCTGTGGTTCCGGTTTCATATCGCAAAAAATTTGGGTCGGTAGGTCGGAAATTTTTTTTAAAAATATTTTTTCATGGTTTTTTCAATAATTAGCGTGACAACAGACGCCATTTTGGCAGCAACCCGCAACCACCCGGAGAAAATAAGGTTGCATGGTCAATCACGTTGAAAAAATAATAGTGTTGACAGAAAAAGTGTTATTTTCCGCTGGCTGAGGCACGAAAGAAGCGGAAAATGTTTTCTCACACACTGCTGGGGGCCTGATGAAATCAGGGTGTTATGGGGTGGTGCAGGTTATTTGAGCATATTTTTGTTGTTGCTCAGCATGGCTCGACAGTATCCCACCCACCCAGCCCTTTTATGTTTATTAGTGGAGAGTAGGGGAGCAGAACGGTTTTTTGTAGATTTTTGGACTTGGTTTGAATTTCAAAATTCAAACCTGGCTTGGTTTGAATTTCAAACCAAGCCCAAAAATTTTCTAAACATCCTGAAAATTGTTGTGAAACATTTCTCTTGTCAAAACAATATTTAACTTTCGACCAATAAAAAGCAACCATTGAAGGAAAATTTTCAAATCATTCTTGTATAATAGTATACAATAATATACTTAATATAAAACTAATTAAAACTGACCTTCCATGTGCTTTAGTGCTTCATCTGCAAATCCAACTGAACTTATTTCACACATCCAAAGATGACAATACGTTGGACTTGATTGGCTTGTACACATTGGTATTTGGTTTTTTCGTCATATAGTTGCAATTGCTGTTGCTTGTAATTTTTTTATAAATCAGTACAGGCTCAGGGCGCTCAGCGATGCAGCGAAATTTCGGGCCGTCTTTCACAACAAATAACATCACAATAGCTGCACGTCTTTTTCTCTTTACTACAGAATTGTTTTCCCTGTCCATTGAGTTATAATTTCAAAAAATAAACAGTCGTTATAACGTAAAATAAGCGGGTATTTGTGAACAAAAATTCCATTTGATGAAACGAAGTAACCAGCGCCATCTTGTCTTCTCCAAACCTTACAAATTTTCCCGCCAAAAACTTTATGCTCGAAGTCCCGTATGTACCTGACGTCACAAGGTCATGGACGAGGGGACTACCATATTTGGTAGTAAAACTAAATCCAATATAATTTTAATCTCTTTCCTTCGCTATTTTTGCTTTCCGCATATTGTTTGACCCAACCACGACTGTGACACAACAATCTTTGCTCACTAAACATTTTGAAAAACAAAAATACAGCATTAAATAAGAATATGCTCTTCGGGCCAACATCGGGACAATCCGAAGTTGTCTGAGCCACTGACCAGTATACAGCACTGGATAAAGCAATACCGTTACATCATGTAACCAGGCTCGGTCAACATACATACATGAGGGTGGGAAAGGGTATTTTCGCGAGCCGTGGTGACAGTGGCGTAACGCTCACTAGGTAGGGTTAGTTCAAAAACTAGGGGCCCCCATCAGCCACGGCCTATCGCCCAGAAAATTAGACTGAAAACGTACAAAATGCAGGTTTACGAATCAATGGAAAAATACAAAATTAATAATGCTAAATAATAAACCCTCCATCGACGACGGTATTCCATCTCAAATAGAACAAAAGTTATTCTTAAAAGTTGTTACATGTGTTGAAGACTGTTATTATCATTGTTACAGACATGGAACTTTCCATTCTACTGATAAATATTCAACATAAATATAGGATCTCAGTCAAACAATAACAGTCAACAGGGGCCCCCACAATTTGATATTTGTTGGCGTGAAATGTGAAATACTGAAAGGGGGGCTTTGAAAACTTACAGAGAGACGAAAGATAGGGGTCTTTGAAAAGATTTACCAGTTTGAAAAAACAGTTTTAAAAATGTAACAAAACAACTTAACAACAAATAACAATGTTTATAGACCTTTAATATTCTTAAATGGAAGTCAAACAAAAAGTCTCTTATTACGAAAGTCACCGAACTGTGGAATCGCATCAAAAATTTGTATATCGACCACTCCCACAAACGTCTACGACCGCGCCTACATAGTTTTGCATGTTTACAATTCTAATTTTAAACAGTCAATCGACGTTTAATTGTAGTTGTTACCAAGAACCTGATTGGCTGTTCAAAATTAGAATTGTAAACATGCAAAACTATGTAGGCGCGGTCGTAGGCGTTTGTGGGAGTGGTCGATATACCAATTTTTGATGCGATTCCACAGTTCGGTGACTTTCGTAATATGTTCATGTAAATAGACATTATAGACTAATTTTAGATCAAGGCCAGATTTTGGTGAAAATAGTGGGAAGAGGTGGAAAAAATTTTAGGGGAGGTGCAGCGGTCTAGCTCACAACCCCCATGGAAAGTTAGGGTTTATTGTACAACAGCCAATATCAACGAGGTGAGGTATGCATGTAGTGTACATATATACCAGTGTATTAATGAATTATGACTGTATGACTCCAATCTCACCCTTCATTACAATTGCTACAAAGTTTCTTTCAAAACATTGCATTAAAAGGGTACTTGACACTGAGATGAATGGCTATCACTGTTTCAATTTTCCAGAGAAAAATTTCTTACGTCACAAAGTGTAGATCCTAAGCAACCATCACATTTTCACTTTGTTCCATCATTGAAACTTTCCCAAGGGGAGGTGCATGACCTTTCAGGAGGTGCGAAAACTCTCAGGGGAGATGCAAAACGATCTCAGGGCAGGGTGCGCATCTCTCCACACAACTCCCCTCAAAATCCGGCCTTGATGCAAATAAGTCACTATAGCTACGGAAAATATAGCCTTGCAAAGTTTGCAAATTTTGTATACTTTTGTATTGCATGCGAAAATTGCAATGCAAAAGTATACAAAATTTGCAAACTTTGGAAGGCTATATTTCCTACATTTTACAACATTGCACAACCAAACTTTGCAATTTTATTAATTTTAGTATACCCTTCCCGGGAATATACTTTTTGCTAAGATAAAAAATTAGTCTATAATGGGAATTGTCTATTGGTCCCCATTATCTCTTTTTGTTTCTCTAAATAAAGAGCTAGAGTTTTTGTTTCTCTAAATAAAGATAAAAAGCTAGAGGTGGGGGGGGGGACCAAAATTAATAAAAAGCTAGAGGGGCGGGGGGCTTTGAAAATTTTACTTGTCTTAAGAGGGAGGCAACGAGAAATATTATAATTGTAGAGTTTCTCCTCAGTCTCCCCCTGTACAATAAATTATGAGCAGCCCTTAGTGATGAATTAACTCATTTCAACAGCAATGACATATTGAAATTTTCTTAGCCCAATCATCGCTTTACAAAGGATGACTCTATCCCGAGTAGGGTTGGGCGATAATAAAAAAATCATCTCACGATTATTGTCAAGGAAATTATCACGATATTCGATAATATCGCGATAAATGCAATAAAAATAATTGTAGGCTTTTCACAGATGAAATTAAAAATGTATGTTGGGAAGGAACGATTTCTTGCAATAACTCAAACGAGTCTTTTAACCAATTTTCCACATTATTCACAGCTAGTTATGATAAACATTTTCCAATTAAAAGAATGAAAGTAAATCAGAAGATTAACAAGTACAAAAGCCCCTGGATGACAAAGTGTGTTTTAAAGTCAATCAAAAGGAAAAATAAATTATACAGTAACTATTTATCTGATCCAAATAAAATAAATGAGAATTTGTACAAAAAATATAAAAATCGATTCAATCATGTAATTCGATTGTCCAAAAAGAAATATTATGAACAAGAACTAATTACATATAAACATGATTCAAAGATGATGTGGGAAACAATAAATGAGATACTAAGTAGAAAAAAACAAATAAAAAAGAACTTCCGAAAGAATTTACTGATATGAATACAACAAATACTATTAAAGATCAGTTTGAAATTGCAAATAAATTTAATAACTACTTCGTCAATATAGGACCCTAACCTAGCAAAGAAATTACAAATACATCCAATACAAATTTTAGCAAATATCTGACTCATAATTATCTAAACAGCATGTTTCTTGATCCGATAACAGAATTTGAGGTACAAAGTGAAATAAACAATTTGAACTCGAATAAAAGCCCAGGGTATGATGGCAGGGTCTTAGCTAGAGGGCCGTGTTGGCCGTGTTATCGCGGCCAAAAGCGGAAAAACACGGCTTGATAAAATTAACGCGGCTTTACTATTTTTATATAAGGCCGTGTAGGTTCATAAATAAGGTGGTGCTACTTACAACAGACAGAATTTCTTCCTATTTACGTCATAAGAAAGTTTGTAAAATCTACTGTTGTTGTTGAATTGGCAAAAATGATCCGTGATGTTTTAATATTTTGATGGATAATGGGAACTGTACGGTGTTAAAATGGTTTTAAATACCCCCAAGAGTTGCTGAAATAACTTAATATTTTAATCTCAGTGCGCAATATGAGCGTATGCTCGTCTTGTATTTGGTTGCAAAGCATAGAACCACAACAGTCCACAAGCATAGTTGTTGTTGGCGAGCATAACTAGAACCGTGATTTTGCTATTCAAAATAATTGACATGTGCACGCCCTGGTCATTAGAAACACGCCCAAGATCTAAAATCCTAGCTAAGACCCTGTATGATGGTCTGAGTGCTAGAACGATTAAACAAGTAAGTAAGGAAGTATCAAAACCACTTGCACATATATTTAATCTGACATTTACTACAGGTATTATTCCTGAACAGATTAAAACTTCTCTGGTAACACCAGTATTCAAATCAAATGAAGAAAATAAATTTGAAAACTATAGACCAATATCAGTTTTAACTTGTTTCGCTAAATTACTTGAAAAATTAATGTACAAACGACTAATAAAATACATGGAAAAAATAATATTTTATCTGACCATCAATATGGATTCAGAAAAAACAGATCAACTGAACTTGCAATAATCGAACTTGTTAATAAAATTACAAAAGAAATCGATCACGGAAAATACACCATAGGTATTTTCTTAGATTTGTCAAAAGCATTTGACACCATTGATCACAAGATTCTGATCAGTAAATTAGAATATTACGGAATTCGTGGCATAGCAAGACTTTGGTTTAAAAATTATCTTACAAACAGGAAACAAATTGTTAAATATAAACAAATAATGTCAAGCGAAATGATAGTACAAACTGGGGTCCCGCAAGGTTCAATATTGGGTCCGCTACTTTTTATCCCTCTATATAAACGATATTCAAAACTGTAGTGATATAGCATCAATGCTATTGTTTGCTGATGATACAAATATATTTTACAGTCACTCATGCCTCAAAACACTAAATGAAACTCTTCAGACGGAAGTGAACAAAATAGCCGAATGGCTAAACACAAGCGAACTATCTATCAACACATTAAAAACCAAATTTATTTTATTTCGATCCTCAAAAAAGAAAAAGAAACACGTAGTGAAGTTGTCCATCAATAACGACGATATCAAACAAGTCAAAACTACAACCTTTTTAGGAGTAGTTATTGATGAATGTTTATCATGGAACGATCATATCGATTCTGTTGCAAAGAAAATTGTAAAATCTGCAGGAATTATTGCAAAAATTCGTCATTTTACAAATTTGAATACTTTAAAACTAATATATTATGCTTTAGTCTATCCATATCTAATCTATGGCAATCTAATATGGTGTAACACATACAAAACCATAATTCAAAAGTTAATAAATATTCAAAAGAAAATAATTCGTCTTATGACATTTCAGTCCAATTTTTCTCACACTGAAAAAATATTTATTGACCTACAGATCTTGAATCTCAGTAAGCTAATTAAATAACTACCTTACAAGTCTTTTCATGTTCAGATATCATCATTTAAACAACTTGCCAAAATTCTTCACAAACTTTTTTATTTCAAATAACCAAATTCACCAATACAACACTCGAAACTCAACTAAACTTCATAAGTCTTATCAGAGAACTAACTACGTCAAGCACTCGCTTTCAGTGAAAGGGGTGGACGTTTGGAATAATCTTGACAGTAATTTAAAAATAATAACATCACGTCCCATTTTTAAGAAAAAATCCAAAATACACTTTCTATGTAATTAATCTTATAAAACACTTTAACAGTAATTTCTCTTCATGTAAATAGATATTTAACTCGAGCTTCTCATTTTAATTATTAATAGTAAATACTCTCCTACAAATATTGAATGTAACATAATCTCACTTTTTGTAAATACTTAGTACCGATGACAATTTAACTACATATATTAGCACCAAGACTTTAAACTAGGGGTCTAAATCCAAAAGCCTGTTCAAGGTTTCTATAGACTCCTAGCCCAAATGTATCTACTTTATTTTTATTTTTTATGTAACATAATGGTATATCACATGGGCAAATCATTAAAAAAAAAAACAAAAAAAAACAACAATGGCCACATTTTTCAATTTTAATTATATCAAAGCATAGTAAGCTTATATATAATCTTATTAAAAAAAAGTAAAACAACAAATCAAAGTAATATGAAGGCTTTTTCTAGTCTAATATTTACTGCTCATAAACCAGAATTGAGAATTGTCTATACTGTGTCTCCCCTGGCACAAATGCTGTGTATTTCATTGCAATTTCATTGTTCAGCGGATTGATACATAAATATTAGAATTTTTTAGGATTTTATAAAATCTATATACACATGCGAAGCAATATAATGATAGTCATCGAGCATGACGATAATTTTGATATATCGTCGCTCAAGTTTCTACCTTCGACATGATAATCGGGAATGAAAATATCGCGATAAATCAAAATATCAAAATATCACCCAACCCTAACCCCGGGTGTCCCAAAAAAATTTGCAATGTTTGATTACTTAGAACATAACGTCCCAGAACAAAACGTCGAATGCTAAAGGCCATGTTACACGGTGCAATTTTTCTTGCAACTTGCAATGCAATTCTACTCTTGAGAGATGTTAATTGGTCTTTCGCGTGCTTATTTACATGTCGTCTTTGTGTGTATTTTTGTCACTCGGAGTAAGTCCATATAATAAACAGAACATTAAACAGAACATTAAACAGTTGCGAAAAGATATGGATTTATGTTCTCGTGTCAAAAACAATATCTCACTCGTTCGCTGCGCAATGGTGTATTTTCAATCTTAAACTTTTACATTTTGCAGTCTCAGATATATAATTATATAAAGAAGTTTATTTGACACTGACACTGAAATATAACTAATACAAGTAAAGCAATTTATTGTGATAACATTTTATCGCAATTATGACTTTGTGTAGTCAGGTAGGTTCTTAATTAACTAGGTTAACCCATTGAGTCGCATTGCACCCTGATGCACCCTACTTTAGTATTTTACTCTGTCTAACGCCAGACGATTTTACTCGTCAAGGGGAGAGCGCTGGCGCTTAATGGGTTAACTTACACAGAATTTAATTGTACTGCTGACGCCTCGCCCTTGGAAACATTTTTTATGTGAAGATGTGAACATTTTTTATTTTACCCTAAACTATAGATATTTCGCAAATTACAGATTTCGCAAACTGCAGATTTCGCCAATGACTAATTTCGCAAATTACAGATTTCGCAAACTGCAGATTTCGCAAAGTGCAGATTTCGTTTCGTTTCGTAAACTACAGTAAGCCAATTGCAAGCTAAATCCACAATCAGAGCCAAAATATTAGATAAATCTGCAATCCGCTGTATTAATAAGATCCGCAAATCTGTGGAAAATATTCGCTAGATCCGAAATCCGAACAATTTTTTCTGTGAAATCCGATGATCCGAAAACCTATTTACCCCCCACCCCATTGATGCGGGGCCATATATGCTTACCTTGTGCTTCGAGTCTTCGGCAGGTCGGCGACTTAATTAAATCAGTAAACTTTGTCAACTTTCTCGTCGAATTGTTGTCTGAAAAAGTAGATAAAACAAATAAGAGTTATATCAATCAAAGCTGGGGTTTTTCTGAACATTATTGCGAGAAAATTTGGGAGAAATACGAAGGAAATGAAGCGACTAAACGATAAAGAAGCGCGTGGATGGGAGGCGAAGTAATTCAATGAATTTGTAGCACGTGTTTCAAAACACGGCTAGAACTTGACAAGAACAGCTCACAAACGTTTAAAATATAGCTAAGTTTAATACTAACCTGTCCCCTTGCATGGCATAACTATTTTATTTCGATAAAGTTTGATAAAATGCTTTTAAAATATGAATTTCTTGCTAAGCTTCGAGTCAAAATGGCGAGCAGAATTTTCAAATTCGCCACGACTTCTTTGCATACAAGGGATTACAAGCTGCTTCTTCTTGCGAGCTCTGATTGGTTCAGCCACGCCCTGGTTTTGGTACTGATCTATATATATATATATATATATATATATATATATATATATATATATATATATATATATATATATATATATATATATATATATATATGGATATATACCTATTCGTCCCTATATATAAAATTGAAATTCAAATAACGACTGGGGACGAGTCTGGCCTGGTAGCGACCCCTGATAGCGATTGGTCCCAGAAAATTGTTTATGCTGGCAGGAAGGAAAAAGGGAAGGCAGAAAAAGGGGAATTGAAGAAAGAAAAGAAAGGAAAGAAAGAAAGAAAAGTGTATAATAGGAAACAAACATCGTTAGGAAGGCTGGTAAACTTCAAGTAGTTTCCTAACCAAACTTCAACTGATGTTGATATTAATAACTTGAAATGTACCTGAAAGTACACAATTTCTTGATCAATATTAAAATCTTACGGTTGAAGTTTGAGGTTTCCATTGGGCAATTGCTTCATTATACAGAACAAAATGTTCACTCACTGTGAAAGTGCACAAATTTCCATAAAGACGAACAATAACATAGAACTTACAATACCTTTTGTCCAGCTTCCAAATCAGGTTTGTTTTCAGACTACTAATCAAGTATGATGCAAATATTAATACAGTTTAAAACTGCTTTCCAGTTTTTCACAAATTTACAGTCTTTCCTCACTTGTTTATTTCAATTAAATCCTTTCCTCAGTTGCTTTATGAAAGTAAATCTTCTAGGACTGCCACAGCTTTTATATGGACATTTACTTCTGAATGTCTTCTTTTTTAATATGTGCACCATGTCAAATTTTCGACAGGTAAATTAAATTTCGGCGCTAAATTTTCGACAGGTTCGGGGTGGACAAACAACGGATGAAATTTGGCTACAATTCAACAAAAGTAAGATCACTTAGGGTAGCCTTAATTTTTTTCCCATTTTCCCCCCTTTTTCAAAAATAAAAAAGATGAATAGCAAAGATTACGAAATAGTAAGGGGTTAGCCTTTACATATTTGCCATCGTTTGCCCCTTTTTCAAAAATGAAAAAAGTGGTTAAAATGGACGAAAAGTTAAGGGGTTATAGCTTTATTTTCCCCCCATTTTTTCCCCCTCTTTCAAAAATAAAAAAGTGGCTAAAAATGGACGAAGAGTAAAGGGGTTGCCTTACTTTAGTGCCATTTTTTGCCACTTTTTCACAATTAAAAAAGTGGCTAAAAATGGAGTAAAAGTTTCTCTCACTTTTTGAAAAACCAAACGCGCCTTGGAATGAAATACACAAAATCAGGAAAGACGAAATGGAGGAATAGTCCCAGACTGATTAGCATGGGAAAAATGTTGAGCCCGGATTAAGCTGTAAGGTAACAAACGTGGAATGCATTTCTGCAACAGGAAAGGGAATTTTATTGCAAGAATTCATCGCTCGATACTTCTTGATACTTTGATACTTGTTTATACACCAATCATACTTGCATCTAATGTAAATTTGTTCATATACAGTAAAGACCATACTTCGGTTTATTCATTTGGTAGCTTCGTTACTTGCTGCAGAATATTGCCCAAACATAGCACTGTAAAAACAGAGAAACTTAAGGATGGCAAGAAGACAAAATGGATATCAAAAACAGAAACATTGTTTCAAAGATCTAAATATGGACGTGTATTGCAAAAACGCCCGAGTGTTTTGGTACAAAAATACGAGTAAGGCGTTCATTAACAATGACTCAATGTATCGAGTAAGAATACTCCTATTTATGAGCAACTTCACTTGCTTTTTAGTAATGTTTCAAATTGAGATTTTTTTTTTCAGCAGCAATGACAATGTATAATTTTCAAGGGTGGGTAGTAGCGAAGTAGTTGTAGTTCGCTACTGTAGCGAACTACAATTTTCAAGTAGCCTGTAGTTTTTTACTACTTTTTTAAAACAGTAGCTGTAGTTATAGCGAACTACATTTTGCCTAAAAGTAGCCAAGTAGTTGGCTACTTTTCAAACGGCGAATCGCTATTCGCTACTTTTTAAAATTGTTAGCAACTTGATAGAATAGCATGATATTGAGACACCGTCTGCTTAAAATCAATACTCAATAGTCAATTTGCACTCCTGAACACTGTAGTGCTTACAAAAATGTTGCTTTGTGTTTACTGCTGTCTGTTGCTCCTCGTAAGTCGATTTGTTATAGGTTATATTATAGCCTGAGTTAATAGTAGATGCTCCAAATACAGTAAAACTAAAAAATGTAGATTATAGCGAAATAGCGAAATAGTTCGCTACATTTTTTAAGCAGTAGCTGTAGTCAGTAGCGAACTACCTTTGTTCAAAAGTAGCAGTAGTTGTAGCTGACTACATATTTTTGAAGAAGCTGTAGTTATAGCGAACTAAAAAATTTTTGTAGTCAACCCACCCTTGATAATTTTGCTTTACTCAATATAAATTGAGAAATCTTGCTTACAGTTACAAGCTTGAGAAAATTTTCTGATTAAAAAAAACACTCACTTTATTCTTTGTTTTCGCGAGGATTAAACATAAACACAGCTTGTTGCTGTGCCTCGTTAGCAAACTGATTCCCTAAAAGCATCTTCGACTCCTCGCTGTCGGTATTTTCCTTGCGTTTCTTGTTCCTTCTAAATTAAACAAGAAACACAAAATTAACGAAAATGTAACAAATATTGTGGCATCTCAAATAAAAAGTATGCCTCCTATCGGTCGAAAAATATTTTCTTTCATCACAACAATGATTTCCAACTCGTAAAAAACATGTTATCAAAAGTTGGAAAGTTTTCATCCAATGGTCCGTTTGGTCTTGAAAGGTCTAAATTCAATTTTATGAGCTGAAAGTATTGTTTTGATGAAAGAGTACGTTTTCAGCCGGTGATAAAAAGGCGTATTCTTTGTGATTCTTACCTTTGGCAATAGAGACAGCACGAGATTAAAATGACCAGAAGCAGAGACGCTGAAACTGCTACAATAATGAGTAATGCATTGTTGCTTTTTGATGTGTCCTCTAAATAAAACAGATAAAAATATATCACGAATGACGATGGTTATGACTTTTGTTACGTTATTGGATTTAGGTTTAACTAACCGTCTTTCAAGCACAGTCTTCCATCCTTCAAGTGTTCAAATCCTTCTTTACAGCGGCATTTAAAACTGCCAACAAAGTTGATACACAAAGCATTCTTGTCGCAATTATGAGAATTCACTTTGCATTCGTCCACGTCTTCATAAAAATATCAAGAAAAAGATAAGAATAAGTAAGGCTGGTTAGGTGGGGCGTTCCTAAGCATTGGAAAGGCAGCAGTTGGTTGGAGAACTGTGAACAGTATGTTGACGGAAAAAACTACATCAATGATTATATAGGTGGGTTTTACACAATCTCGTTCCCAGACTATTCCCTCTTGAGGAGGAAATACCTTGGCAAGAGGGAAGACCCTGGGAAGAATGTACCTAAACAACGTCCATTTTTCAACTTGAATCCACGACGACATTTGCAACTGTATGCTCCAGGAGTGTTGTGACATTTTGAATGAGCTGGACATTTATACTTGTTCTGGGAGCATTCGTTTATATCTGAAATAAAGGATACTTTTGAATGTGGAATTCAAATGCAATTGAAAAAGAGAGTTACTGAAGTTTACCTTTGCAGATTTTTCCATTTCCACGGTAGCCTTTCTTACAAACGCATTGGAAAGTTCCACGTTTGTTCTTGCATATTGCATCAACAGAACACTTGTTGTGACCTTTGCATTCATCATTGTCTGTGAGATGGGAGCAGATATATGTACAGTACAGTGCAGTGCGGTGCGGTGCGGTGCGGTACGGTACGGTACGGTACAGTACAGTACAGTACAGTACAGTAGGATGGAAATTGAATCAGACAGAGTTTTAAAGAAAACCGAACAGCAATAAACAATCATTATGGAAGCACAAAATTTAAACAAACATCGTACCATTGCAATATTTTCCATCTCCAGAATAGCCAGGATTGCATTCACATTTGTAAGATCCAGGAAGGTTTGTACATTTAGCATGCTTTGCACAGATAAATTTGTTTGAGCATTCGTTCAGATCTATAAAAAAAAAACAATAAAATGATTTTAGAATGGGAAGAAGAGAAAAAGCCAACAAAATCAGTGACAGAAATATTGAATGCAAAAACATCGAATACAAAGAAATAACATTACCTTTGCATGTTCTTCCATTATCGTATTCCTTAAAACCAGGTTTACACTGACATTTAAATCCTGGTTCAGTGTTAATACATTTTGCATTCTTATCACAATCGTGTTTTTGCGTCAAACATTCATCAATGTCTGGAAAACGTAAAGTGAAACACAATTGAGTATCTGATATGTCTGTCTAAATTTAGTCTTCCCCATGGAGGTCCAGTAAGGATCATAAAACATAAAACATTGCAATAACTTTATGGATTAATTGAGAAAAGCATATTAAAGTGTTACCTAGACATTCATACGAAGTCCAGTTTGCCGAAACACAACGTTGTATTTTAATATCGCACACCGGAGGTTTTGCCTTGCACGGATCAATTTTAGCTGAAAATAAATATGGACTAAGTTTCTTATTTGTATTTGAGAACATGAGTCACATGACACTGTATAATACAATATGTGGTTAATTGAAGTTAATCATTACATAACGACATACCAATACACTTTCCCTTTTCTCGGGTAAGACCTTTCGTACATCGACACTCGTACCCATTCTCCTTATTGTAGCACTCCTCTCCGTCACCACATTTGTACTTGCCAGTCAAACATTCGTCAATGTCTGAAAAATGAAAAACGGCCGCGTGAAGCAAAACACTTGACTTCACTAACTTTGTTTCCAAGGCTTGTTGTTTTCTACGGAGGTCAAGTAATTGCGATCTTTTGTTAATCCCATGTCAGTTAACTCATCAAGGGGAGATTGCTGCCACTTGATTGGTTAATCAGACTCAGCCCATGCACCCTGTTAACCCTCATTGTTCAGTGGCAATACGCCCAGATGTGCCCTACTTTAGTATTCTACTCTGTCTGACGCCAGATGACTTTACTCGTCAAGGGAAGAGAGCTACCACTGAATGGGTTAACTTACCAACACAGCGGTGTGATATTGTACCAGATGATGATTGAGTAGTTTCACATTTCGAGGTGCTGGGACACGGACTCTCTTTACTTTTGCACGGATCTGGAACTGTTCGGAGAAAACAATACAAATCATATTTAAAAACTCTCAATGGTGTTTTTGTATTGTGCTAAAAATGACCCCTTCAACTCAAAGGTTCATATTAATTGTGGATATGTTAAATATCTGAAATGATAGAAATGAGAAAGCTTTGGAAATAGCAATGTAAGAAACTCAATAAACAAAACATTTTGATGTTTCAAGCAAAGGCCCTTTGAATGGCCAGGCATTGATAGCCGAGAAAGGCCTTCGCTGAAAACATCAAAATGTTTTGTCTATTGAGTTTCACACATTGCTATTTCTCAACAGGCTATTGCCCAACCAATAGATAGGGATCCAAGGTACCTATTAATGACCTTATCCAAGAAGACGTAAAAGTCTAACCATTTACTGATGTCAATGTAAAGGTAGCTCTTTCCCTCAATCATTTTAAGACCTTGAGTAGAGGTCCGACCAAGGATTGGACCCGGCTCTCCCAGCTTGAAAGACAACCACCACACCACAAGTGCTGGTATCTCCTTGTCCTTGTATTTTCCAACTAGTTGCATCCCACCTACACTGACACCATTCAAGACAATAACACAACTAGTTCCAAGCTTGACCAACACATTCCTCACCAATTACGATACGACTGAGCTGCTCTCCAGTTGGTTGTATTTGCTGTGATTTGACTACTTCTTGTTGTATAAACAAAGTACTGGCTTCAATAGCATCATTTGCATTTGATAATTTGGATAGTTTTGTTTACTTTTATTATTAATATCTTTATATTTTGAAGTAGACATGCATGGGTTTTTGTTTGGTGACCCACCGTGGACATAAAAAAAAATCGGCGGCCCATCGAAACTGCCCAAAGATTTTCCATGGCCTATCCCAAATCACTCCAGCCCACCCTAGCAGTTACTTTATGACCGGTCCCTTATTGGCATCACAGTACCTACTCTGAAACACACCGTTGAAGACAACAACACAACTAATTTTCTAATCCATCCAGAAAGAGACATTTACTTACCAACGCATTTCTTGCTAGCCTTGTCCCTCACAAGTTCTTTCGGGCATCGGCACTCGTACCCAGTTTTCATCTTATTCACGCAGACTTCAGGTTTTTTACACAAACCTTTTCTTGAACATTCGTTTACATCTAGACAAAATATATAAAAAAAAACATTAAGAAATTCCATTCAAATTGTTGAAAACCATTGACGTGAAAAAAATACACCTTTGTTCACCCCCGGGTTTTATCAGTCAAAACTAATTAGCCGTTTTCACATTAGAAGACGGACAAGTCGTCTAGACGAACAAATCGTCTTTTAGTCGGACAAATCATCAGATGTGAAAACGTGTCGGACAAAATTTTAGACGAACAAGTCGTCTGAATTTGTTCGACTACTTGTCCGTCTGTGAAGACGATTTAATTTTTGAGAGACGATTTGTTCGTCTAGACGACTTGTCCGTCTCTAATGTGAATAGGGCTATTGTTTTGATGAAAGAAATGGTTTTTGACAATTTTCAGAAAGTTTCGAGTAGGCTGGGGGCATTATTTGAATTTTTAAAAATTTACTGTAGTCCCCACTTTGTATACTCCAGGGTTGCCTGTGGTGCCCCCCCTTTGCATTTGACCAAAATAATTTTCAGAATGTTATGAGTAGGTTTGAGCATTTGAATTTTTAAAAATTTCCAGTAGTTGTACACTCACCAATACATTCATAAGACTTTGCAGTATTCTTGCATGTCGTCACCTTAGCTGGACATGGGTTAGCTTTGCAGCGATCATTTGCTGTGAAAAGGTAAAAAAGTAAATTTCAGTAAAACAATGCTCGGGGGTTGTAAAAACTGGTAAATTAGTAAAAACCATGCTGTTTAATATTTACCAAGAAAATACCATTTATGGTAAATATTAAACATGAACGGTTTTTTACATATATATATATATATATATATATATATATATATATATATATATATATATATATATATATATATATATATATATATATATATATATATATGTAATTATACGTAAATATATATATATATTTTACATATATATATATATATATACGAACGGAAGCTTGTTATGGCACACACAGTTCAAGTTCACATGAAATAGCAAATTCTAGTCATAGTAGGTTGTTTAATACAAGACAGCTACAGATGGAGAAAGATACAACGACCTGAAGAATATAAGCAGAACTTCAACGTTTCAAGCGGCAAGTCGTTCGTCTGCCCTTCTTCGCTACATAACCTCCCAACGAAAGGCTTTTGCTCAAATCGTTGAGGTTCTGCTTGTATTTTTCAGGTCGTTGTATATCTTTTAATCTACAGTTTTCTTCTTATCGTCAGATTTTATCACAGAAGAAATCCAACGATGGTGAACATTAAGTTTAACAAACCTTTTTGAGGACACATTTTCGCCTCGGCGACATCATAAGCTGGAACAGGTTTCGAAATTCGTTTTGCTTTATCAGCTTTACACAATACCAGTTTGTGCCTGTCTAGAAATCGCTTCTTCGCTGCACGGGTTTTCAAACGTCTGATAAACCACACTGTATCACAATCGCACGGAAACTCACCCCTCAGGTCCCTAAAAATAAACTTTATATGGTACACTGATAACGCGTTATGGTAGACTAAAAATCTTACAAAAAACTTACCCAATGTGTCCGCTTCCAATGAAGACGTCGGATGGAATACGTGGTGGTGTTTTTTCACAGTTCCAAAATGAAAATAACTTGTAACAATAATCTTTCAATTTGAATTGCTCTAATAAAATAAAAATAAATGTTCTTTTATAGAGAGAGGTATGGTATAATGTAATATGGCATAGCTTTGTATGGTATGGTATGGTATGGTATGGTATTGCATTGCATTGCATTGTATTGTGTATTGTGTGTATGGTGTGGTATATATGGTACAGTATGATATGGTATAGCATGGTATGGACCGTATGGTATGGACCATATGGTATAGTGTGGTATGATATGACAAAACATATGCTATGGTAAAGCATGGTATGGTATAGCACGATATGGCATGGTGTGCTATTATGGTAAGGCAAGACAATTCATGGTAAGACATTGTATGATTGGTGACAAATTTGTTTATTTTGACCCCGCTGAATAAAACATACTGGTTTTGCAGATAAGGTTCTCGCGTGTTAATTTTTTAACCAGATAGCCTTTCATCTTGAAATTGGCACATTTCATAGCGTTGTAATCCAGAATTCTTTTCTTGTTTTCAGACGATTCTCGCAAAAACCAAACAAAACTGCAGTCACAGATCAAAGGATTTCCACTGAGGTAGCTGAAAACATAAAACAGAAGTTGTTAAAATCCATTCCCAGCCACCAATTTGAATGAATAAACATAATTATTTTTCACCCTGCTCGGTTTCCTTTGTTCTTATTTATATATTCAATATTCCCCTCTAATCAATTTCCGTTTAATAATCCCCTCTAATATTCACCTGCAATTAATAATCCCCTCTAATATTCACCTGCAATTAATAATCCCCTCTAATATTCACCTGCAATGTCTTTGCATCACAAAAAAATGAGAAAAAACAACATAACGAAGGCAATATATGACATTAAGAATTATTTCTATTCTTACTCATTAATGCGACCTCGCAGTGTGAAAAATAAGTACGTTATTTTGAGGCACCTCGGGGATATGTGTTTATTCACGTCGGCGCTACGCGCCTCGGTGAATAAATCACATATCCCCTCGTTGCCTCAAAATAACCTATACATAATGACCCGTCCCTCACGTTGCCAATCGAGTGTTGGGTTTCAGCAAGAACGCAAGGTATATACTTACATTTTAACTTTAGGAATGGAAAATATGTCGTAGGGAACATTTTGAAATCCCATGCCTCTGCAATCAATCACTCCACGTTTTCCTTGCTTGCAATCTTTTATGGAAGGCAGCTTTCCAGCTGACACGCCAAAGTAACATACCAAAACAATGGCAAAAAGCACTCTTAATGCAACAGACATTAGTGCTGTTGTTTCCTTTTGACGTTGATTACATATCGTTACATCAACCCGATTTTAAACTGGTCTAATCTTAATCATTGCTGTCTGATCTCATTATGCGCACGCTAATTGATTGCAATTAGCATTTGATTGCAATTAAAACTTCTATGACATCACGTTCTAAAGCTATTAGAAAACTAATTAATTAACGAGGGTAGATTTAATTAAACGCTCTTCGCTTCGGGAAGGAATCCTCTGAATTCGCTATTTTCGCGTGAAAAAAGTATCGGACCACGGGACCATCGGTCCTGAAAATTTATTGAGTTCCCAGAAACTATTTCCCCAAGAAAGGAAGGAAGGAAGGAAGCAAGGAAGAGAGGGAGGGACGGACGGACGGAGGAAGAAAGGGAGGGAGGAAGGAAGGAAGGGAGGGAGGAAGGGAGGAAGGGAGGAAGGAAGGAAGGAAGGAAGGGAGGGAGGAAGGGAGGAAGGAAGGGAGGGAGGGAGGAAGGAAGGAAGGGAGGGAGGAAGGAAGGAAGGAAGGGAGGAAGGGAGGAAGGAAGGGAGGGAGGGAGGGAGGAAGGAAGGAAGGAAGGAAGGATAAGATAATTGTAATAATTTGGATAAAAGGAGGAATTACGAAGAAAAACTCTAAGCAATAAATTCAAACCAAAGCATTGACAAGCATAATTAAAACGACAAAGCATTCATCCACATGTTGTTCTTTGTGGTTGCGTTAGAGAAAGAACTCTAAGTTTTATTGTAAAAGATGAAGTATTTCTGTTACAGGTATGTAAATATTATTGCACGATTTTATACAAGAATTGTTTGCTTATGTTTCATGCATACTTCTTAATTTCTTGTCAACGTTATAATTCTTTCCACGAGGATAAAACACAGCTTGTTGTCATTGTTAGTCTTGAGCGACCTGATCGGCTAAAAGCGTCTTGAACTCCTCGCTATCATTTTTCTTGCATTTCTTATTCCTTCTAAATTAAACAAGAAACTGCGATTGGAATTTTGAAAAATATTTTAACCATGTTTTTATCAGCTGAAAATCACCGTTTTAATGAAAGAAAAAACTTTTCGACAATAGTTTGGGGGAAGATTGCATGTCTCGCTTGAAAACTTGAAATGCGTATTCTTTTATTACCTTTGCCAATAGAGACAACACGAGATTAAAATGACCAGAAGCAGAGATGCTGAAACTGCGACAATAATGATTAATGTATTGTTGCTTTTTGATGTCTCCTCTAAATAAAACAGAGAAAAAATATATCATGAATGATGATGGTTATGACTTTTGTTAAGTCCTAGTTTACCTAATTTATATACTACACTCCACTTAGAGCAGCAGGTTTAACTAACCGTCTTTCAAACACAGTCTTCCATCCTTCAAGTGTTCAAATCCTTTTTTACAGCGGCATTTGAAACTGCCAACAGAGTTGATACACAAGGCATTCTTATGGCAATTATGAGAATTCACTTTGCATTCGTCCACGTCTTTAGGAATAGAAAATTTAAAAAAAAGGTTGAAAGATATGTTCATACAGTATAAGGTTGTTTTATTGGGGGCGTTCCTAAGCATTAGATTTTACCAGATGATTGCCAACTGAGAATTTTCCACACTTGTAGCAATATGCTGTTCCAACAACTTGCCAACAGGACGTCTTTGCAATGCTTGTTTCCAGCTTGTTGACAACTTTCTACAAGGTTATTGAGCTCAACAGACTTGGTACTAGTTGTTCGAACAACTTGCTATCGTCCTGCAATTTCACAACTTGGCAAGACGTTGTGACAGCATTGTTACAACTTGATGAGAAGCTTGCAACGAACTTGTTGTACACAGATCTTGTTGATACGTTTTGAGATTTTCACGTTGTATTGATCGGAATTAATATTATTTTCTCACTCTGATAACGGCTGGTTGAGCAACATCAGCGGTGATCTGCTAACACTTCGTGAAAGCCACATATAAATTCATGCTAAGATTGTGGTGATGGTACTGTACCCACCTAAACAACGTCCATTTTTCAACTTGAATCCATGACGACATTTGCAACTGTATGAGCCAGGAGTGTTGTGACATTTTGAATGAGCTGGACATTTGAACTTCTTCTTGGAGCATTCGTTTATATCTGAAATAAAGGATACTTTTGAATGTCGAACTCAAATGCAATTGAAAATGAGAGTTACTGGTGTTTATACCTTCGCAGATTTTCTCATTTCCACGGTACCTTTCTTACAAACGCATTATATGTACAGTACAGTAAGATGGAAATTAAATCAGACAGAGTTATAAAGAAACCGAACAACAACAATGAAGAATCATTATGGAAAAAATTGAAACAAACATCGTACCTTTGCAATATTTTCCATCTCCAGAATAGCCAAGATTGCATTGACATTTGTAAGATCCAGGAAGGTTTGTACATTTAGCATGCTTTGCACACAGAAATTTGTTTGAGCATTCGTTCAGATCTAAAACACAACGAAATGATTTTAGAACATTTGAAGAGTGAAAAGGATAGGCGAGAATGCAGCTTGGAAGAAGAGAAAAAGCGAACAAAATCAGTGACAGAAATATTGAATGCAAAAACATCGAATACAAAAAATAACATTACCTTTGCATGTTCTTCCATTATCGTATTCCTTAAAACCAGGTATGCACTGACATTTAAATCCTGGTTCAGTGTTAATACATTTTGCATTCTTATCACAATCGTGTTTTTGCGTCGAACACTCATCAATGTCTGCAAAAAGGTAAAAACGCAATTATCTGTTAGGTCGGTCTAAAATCTTCTTCGTGAGGGTCCAGAAAGAATCATATAAAGCATAAAACACTGCAGTAGCGTTATGGATAAAGAGAAAAAACTACAACAATATTAAGGTGTTACCAAGACATTCATAAGAAGTCCTGTTTGCCGAAACACAACGTTGTGTTTTAATATCACACACTGGAGGATCTGCCTTGCATGGATCAATTTCAGCTGAAAAAAATAATGCTAAGTCTAAGTTTTTTATCTAGTACTTGAGAAAGCATCACACTGTATAATACAATATGTATTCTACATATAAGATGTGGATAATTGAAGTTAATCATTACATAACGACATACCAATGCACTTTCCCTTTTCTCGGGTAAAACCTTTCGCACATCGACATTCGTACCCATTCTCCTTATTGTAGCACTCCTCTCCGTCACCACATTTGTACTTGCCAGTCAAACATTCGTCAATGTCTAAAAAATGAAAAACGGCTTCGTGATGCAAAACACTTGACTTCATTAACTTTGTTTCCAAGGCTGGTTGTTTTCTATGGAGGTCAAGTAATTGCTAATTTTGTTAATCCCATGTTAGTCATCAAGGGGAGATTGTTGTACATCCTGTTAATCCCATTGGTCAGTGACAATACGCCCAGATGTGCCCTATTTTAGTATTCTACACTGTCTGAACTAGGTCTCTGGGTTAACCTACCAACACAGCGGTGCGATGTACCAGATGATGATCGAATAGTTTCACATTTCGAGGTACTGGGACACGGACTCTCTTTACTTTTGCACGGATCTGGAACTATTCAAAGAAAACAATACAAATCATATCAATGGTGTTTTTGTATTGTGCTAAAAATATGACCCCTTCCCCAACTCAAAGGTTCATACTAAATTGTGGATAAGCATATGTTCATTTATGACCAGTATGTTAAATATCTGTAATCAAAGAACTACGAAAGCTTTGGATTGATAGGGATTAGCCGACGAAGGGTCTCTGCCTGAAACATCGAAGTTTTCTGTTTATTGAGTTTCTCACTCATTGGTCAGCGGATTTCCCAAAAGGCTATTGCCCAATTCACAGGGGATTCGAAGGGATATAGTCTAACCATTTACATCAAGTCGATGTAAAGGTAGCTCCTTCTGCATCCCTACCGGTAAATTCGAAGTTTTATTATTATTGGCATCACAGTACCTACTCTGGAACACACCGTTGAAGACAACAACACAACTAATTTTCTAATCCATCCAGAAAGAGACATTTACTTACCAATGCATTTCTTGCTAGCCTTGTCTCTCACAAGTTCTTTCGGGCATCGGCACTCGTACCCAGTTTTCTTCTTATTCACGCAGAATTCAGGACTTTTACATAAACCCTTTTTTGAACATTCGTTTACATCTAAACGAAATATAGAGAGAAACGTTAAGAGATTCTATTCCAATTACTGAAAACCATTCATGTGAAGATAATACAGCTTTGTTCACTACAAGATTCTATCAGTCGAAACCAATTGTTTTGATGAAAGCAATGGTTTTCGACAATTTTCCGAAAGTGTCGAGTAGGTTGGGGCATTTATTTCAATTTTTAAAAAAATTTTTGTGGTCCCCCCTTTGTTTACCCAGGGTTGCTGTGGTCCCTCCTTTGCCAACGACTAAAAATTTTCAAAACATGTTTTTACCAGGCGAAACTGTTTTGATAAAAGAAATGGTTTTCGACCATTTTCAGAATGTTTTGAGACATATACAGTGGGTATAAAAAAATGGTAATCCTAATTTAGTGTGGTGATTAAATGATGACACAGGAGCACGCTGAAGTTGGAATACCTTTTTTATACATGTTGTAGACAAACGTATCCATACCATTCGTGGTAAAACTCCAACTAATCACCATAATATTTATATCAATAAAATGCACTAACGGTTAAATTGATGGGTTTTACAAATGGGAATACCAGTATTTCTTAAACCATTAATGCTTCTGTAAAAAAATTCCAGTAGTTGTATACACTTACCAATACATTCATAAGACTTTGCAGTATTCTTGCATGTTGTCATCTTAGCTGGACATGGGTTAGCTTTGCAGCGATCATTTGCTGTTAAAAGTTAAAAAGGTAAACTTCAGTAGAGTAATCCGGTGACAACCACATGAAAAATTTAAATCTTCATTAATCGGTTTTTGAATGTAAAATGAATAACCAATCATGGTAAGAGTTTAGCTTTTCCATTCATAGTATACATAGTAAATTTTTAAAAACCATTCAAAACCCATTGATGGAAATTTTTTTTTTTCTTGTGACCTTGTAATCTAGCTTGTAGCTGTTACAACTACCTGAAGAATATAAGGCAGAACTTCAACGTTTCAAGCGGCAAGCCGTTCGTCTGCCCTTCTTGCAAGTCGTTCGTCTGCCCTTCTTGCAAGTCGTTCGTCTGCCCTTCTTCTCTACTAACCTCCTGTTGAAAGGTTTTTGCTCAAAACGTTGAGGTTCTGCTTGTATTTTTCACGTCGTTGTATCTCTTTCAATGCACAACTTTCTTGTTATCGTCAGATTTTATCACAGAAGAAATCCAATGATGGTGAACCTTAAGTTTAACAAACCTTTTTGAGGACAGATTTTCGCCTCGGTAACACGATGAACCGGAACAGGTTTCGAAATTCCTTTTGCTTTGTCAGCTTTACACAATATCTTCTTGTACTTTCCAAATCGAAGCAATGCCGACACTGCAGGCATTTTCAAACGTCTGACAAACCATACTGTATCACAATCGCACGGAAACTGGCCCTCTAGGTCCCTAAACATAAACCTTATATGGTACACAGATAACGCGTTATCAGTGGTACACTGAAAAGCTTACAAAAAACTTACACTACGATTCCGCCTGCACTGTAAACGTCGAATGGAATACGTGGTGGTGGGTATTTCTTACAGTTCCAGAATCCAAACATGTTGCCACAATGGTCTTTCATTTTGAACTGTCCTAATAAATTTTTTATTTATATATTATAGAGAGGGGCATGGTATGGTGTAGTAAGGCATAGCATTGTAGGGTATTACATTGCATTGCATTGCATTAATTGTACTGGATTTTATGGTTTGCATGGCATGCTATAGTATGGTATGGTAACAAACATGCTAACATGGTATGGTAATTGGCATGGTATGTTATTGACCGTATGGTATGGTGTGGTATAATATGGTGTGGTATAATATGATGTGGTATGACAGGACAATACACATGGTATGGTATTAAGCATGGTATGGTATGGTATGGTATGGTATGGTATGGTATGGTATGGTATGGTATATGGTATGGTATGATATGGTATGATATGGTATGGTATGGTATAGCAAGACAGGATAAGTCATGGTAAGACATGTTATGATTGGTGACCATTTGCGAGAATTTGGGTTTATTTTGACCCCGCTGAATAAAACGTACTGGTTTTGCAGATGAGATTCTTGCGTGTTATTTTCTTAACCAGATAGCCTTTCATCTTGGAATTGGCACATTTCATAGAGTTGTAATCCACAATTCTTTTCTTGTTTGCCGACGATTCTCGCAAGAACCAAACGAAACTGCAGTCACAGATCAAAAAATTTCCACTGAGGTAGCTGAAAACATAAAACAGAAGTTGTTAAAATCCATTCACGAAATGCGATTTTGTAGTATTATTGTTGTTTGTATAATGGTAAATTTACAGTTAAAACTTTTAAAAGTCGCTTTTCACGTTGCTTGAATTGTCTAGAATCGTTCACGAGGGCAAACAGTACCCCAAAAATAACGGATATTGGCCTTCGTGAGAAAAAGAAAGGTTGGCTTTAATTAAAACACCATTTAAAAATTTGTAACAACTGAAAATAATTACTAAATTTTAAATGTGCTGATTACTACAACTCGCCTTTTGCTTAACATAATGTCACTGTTTTCATATATGTCCCACTTCTGTGACATGACTGCTTGTGCAATTTTCTGAAGTCTAAATCTGTCTGCACACGCATGAATACATTCTATGTGTGGAGACACCAATTGTCTCGTGACAAATCGAAAAATGATCTGATTCTGATTATTAAATGATTTAAATATTGCATTGACATATGACTGTTGGCATTGCTTTTTAGTCTTCAATATTTGAGTAAGTCATGCTTCGAAAATGAAAAGAAACTTTTATTACCATGCAACCCTTGAGTTGTCTTATTTGACCGATCCTTCATGCCAATCGAGTGTTGGGTTTTAGCAAGAACGCAAGGTATACTTACATTTTAACTTTACGAATGGAAAATATATCGTAGGGAACATTTTGAAATCCCATGCCTCTGCAATCAATCACTCCACGTTTGCCTTTCTTGCAATCTTTTATGGAAGGCAGCTTTCCAGCTGACACGCCAAAGTAACATACCAAAACAATGACAAAAAGAACTCTTAATGCAACAGACATTAGTGCTGTTGTTTCCTTTTGACGTTGATTACATATCGTTACATCAACCCGATTTTAAACCAGTCTAATTAGCTATCAGCTTTTTATGGTTTAATCATTCCGGTCAAATCTCATTAAGCGCACGCTAATTAGCATTTGATTGCAATTAGAACTTCTATGACATCACGTTCCAAAGCTGTTAGAAAACTAATTAATTAACTAGGGTATAGATTTACTGAAACGCTCTTCCCTTCGGGAAAGACCAATTCGGACCGCGGCGTGGAAAAAGACAGGCGTAGAAAAAGACCAATTCGGACCGCGGGACCATTGGTCCAGAAAATTTCTCGAGTTCCCAGAAAATATTTCTCCAAGAAAAATAAGATAATTGTAATAATTTAGATAAAAGGAAAAATTCAGAAGAAAAATTCTAAGCAATAAATTCTAGCCAAAGCATTGACAATTAAAATAATTAAAACGACAAAGCATCCATCCACATGTTGTACTTTGTGGTTGCGTTAGAGAAAGAACTCTTTAAGATTTATTGCAAAAGATGAAATGTATTTCTGTTACAGGTAGGCAAATATTATTACAAGATTCCATACAAGCATTGCTTGTTTATACTTTATGCATACTTCTTGATTTCTTGTCAACGTGATAATTCTTTCCACGAGGATAAAACACAGCTTTGTTGTCATTGTTAGTCTTGAGCGACCTGATCGGCTAAAAGCGTCTTGAACTCCTCGCTATCATTTTTCTTGCGTTTTTTGTTCCTTCTAAATTAAAGAAAAGTAACCGCGATTGGGATTTTGCTATAATTTGGAAAATGTTTTAACCATGTTTTTATCAGCCGAAAATCACTGTTTTGATGAAAAAAAAGGCTTTTCGCCAATAGTTTGGAGAAAGATTGCATGTCCCTCGCTTGAAACACTTTAAATGCGTATTCTTCCTGATGCTATACTGTAGTTCGTACCTTCGACAACAAACACAGCACGAGATTAAAATGACCAGAAGCAGAGATGCTGAAACTGCGACAATAATGATCAATGTATTGTTGCTTTTTGATGTCTTCTCTAAATGAAATAGAGAAAAAATAAATCATGAATGATGATGGTTATGTTTAGGCATGGTTTGACTATCAAAGTTTCTGTGGAATATTAGTAGGAATATTAAATTGGTAAATATTAAGTTTTGAAGGATTTGTAAGAAATATTTGAGGGAACTGTTAAACCGTTAAACACTGAGCCAATTCCCTCAAATATTTCTTACAAATCCTTCAAAACGTATTATTTACCTGTGCAAAATTCCTACTGTGATCGTAGAAACTTTGATAGTGTCGACCAGACGTTAGGGTAAGGATTGGATTTAGGATAAGCGTTAAGATATCAAGCACATCAAAGAAAGGTCACCCTAATTTATACACTACACTCGACTTAAAGTAGCAGGTTTAACTAACCGTCTTTCAAGCACAGTCTTCCATTCTTCAACTGTTGAAATCCTTTTTTACAGCGGCATTTGTAACTGCCAACAGAGTTGGTACACAAGGCATTCTTGTGGCATTTATGAGAGCCCACTTTGCATTCGTCCACGTCTATAAGAATAGAAAATTTTAAAAGAAAAAAAAGGTTGAAAGATATGTTCGTACAGTATAAGGCTGGTTTGGTGGGGGCGTTCCTAAGCATTAGAATGGCACCAGATGGTTGCCAACTGAGAAATGTCCACACTTGTAGCAATGCTGTTCCAACGACTTGTCTTCGCAATGCTTTTTCCCAGCTTGTTGACAACTTACTACAAGGTTGTTGAGCTCAACAGACTTGTTATAAGTTGTTCGAACAACTTGTTATCGTCCTGCAATTTCACAACTTGTCAAGAAGTTGTGAGTGACAACCTTGTAGCAACTTGATAAAATAACACAGGATTTTACAACTTCTTGACAAGCTTGCAACGAGCCTGTTGCAAACAGATGTTGATAAGTTTTGAGATTTTAACGTGTGCATTGAACGGAATTAATATTATTTTCTCACTCTGATAACAGCTGGTTGAGCAACACCAGCGGTGATCTGCTAATGCTTCATGAAAGCCACATATAAATTCATGCTAAGATTGTGGTGATGGTACAGATACCCACCTAAGCAACGTCCATTTTTCAACTTGAATCCATGACGACATTTGCAACTGTATGCTCCAGGAGTGTTGTGACATTTTGAATGAGCTGGACATTTGTACTTCTTCTTGGAACATTCGTTTATATCTGAAATAAAGGATAATTTTGAATGTCGAATTCAAATGCAATTGAAAATGAGAGTTACTGATGTTTACCTTTGCAGATTTTTCCATTTCCATGGAAACCTTTCTTACAAACGCATTGGAAAGTTCCAAGTTTGTTCTTGCATATTGCATCAACTGAACACTTGCTGTGAGCTTTGCATTCATCATTGTCTGTGAGATGAGATGAGAGCAGATATATGTACAGTACAGTGCAGTGCAGTACGGTACGGTACGGTGCAGTGCTGTACGGTACAGTGCAGTGCTGTACGGTACGGTACGGTACAGTGCAGTGTTGTACGGTACAGTGCAGTGCTGTACGGTACAGTGCAGTGTTGTACGGTACAGTGCAGTGCTGTACGGTACAGTGCAGTGCTGTACGGTACAGTGCAGTGCAGTGCAGTGCAGTACAGTGCAGTACAGTACAGTACAGTACAGTACAGTACAGTACAGTACAGTACAGTACAGTACAGTACAGTACAGTACAGTACAGTACAGTACAGTACAGTGCAGTGCAGTACAGTGCAGTGCAGTGCAGTGCAGTGCAGTGCAGTGCAGTAAGATGGAAATTAAATCAGACAGAGTTACGAAGAAAACCGAACACCAATAAAGAATCATTATGGAAGCACACAATTTAAAAACAACTTCGTACCTTTGCAATATTTTCCATCTCCAGAATAGCCAGGATTGCATTCACATTTGTAAGATCCAGCAAGGTTTGTACATTTAGCATGCTTTGCACACAGAAGTTTGTTTGAGCATTCGTTCAGATCTGTAAAAAAACAACAAAAGGATTTTCGAATAATTGAAAAGTGAAAAGGATAGGCGAGAATGCAGATGGGAAGAAGAGAAAAAGCCAACAAAATCAGTGACAGAAATATTGAATACAAAACATCGAATACAAAGAAACAACATTACCTTTGCATGTCCTTCCATTATCGTATTCCTTAAAACCAGGTATACACTGACATTTAAATCCTGGTTCAGTGTTAATACATTTTGCTTTCTTATCACAATCGTGTTTTTGCGTCGAACATTCATCAATGTCTGCAAAAAAGGTAAAAACGCAATTGAGTACCTGTTAGGACTGTCTAAAATCTTCTTCGTGGAGACCCAGAAAGAATCATAAAACATAAAACACTGCAATAACTTTATGGATTAAGAGAAAACAAGTAGAACAATATTAAGGTGTTACCTAGGCATTCATAAGAAGTCCAGTTTGTCGAAACACAACGTTGTATTTTAATATCACACACTGGAGGTTCTGCCTTGCATGGATCAATTTTAGCTGAAAAAAAATACTGACTAAGTTTTTTATTTGTATTTGAGAACATGACACTGTAAAATACAATTTGTATTCTGCACAAGATGTGGTTAATTGATGTTAATCATTACATAACGACATACCAATACACTTTCCCTTTTCTCGGATAAGACCTTTCGTGCATCGACACTCGTATCCATTCTCCTTATTGTAGCACTCCTCTCCGTCACCACATTTGTACTTGCCAGTCAAACATTCGTCAATGTCTGAAAAATGAAAAACGGCTTTGTGAAGCAAAACACTTGACTTCACTAACTTTGTTTCCAAGGCTGGTTGTTTTCTACGGAGGTCAAGTAATTGCGATCTTCTGTTAATCCCATGTCAGTCATCAAGAGGAGATTGCTGCCACTTGATTGGTTAATCAGACTCAGCCCATGCGCCCTGTTAACCCTCATTGTTCAGTGGCAATACGCCCAGATGTGCCCTACTTTAGTATTCACTCTGTCTGACGCCAGATGATTTTAATGGGTTAACTTACCAACGGGTTAACTTACTCAATGGGTTAACTTACCAACACAGCGGTGTGATGTACCAGATGATGATCGAATAGTTTCACATTTCGAGGTGCTGGGACACGGACTCTTTTTACGTTTGCACGGATCTGCAGCTGTTCAGAAAAAGAAACAATATTTAAAAACTCTCACTGCTGTTTTTATATTGTGCTAAAATTGATCCCTTCAACTGACAGGTTCATACTAAGAAAATGTTGTTGTTATGATCGGTATGTTAAATATCTGTAATCACAGACTACGAAAACTTTGCATTGATATGGATGCAACAGCCTGAGAAATAGAAGGAAAACTTTGACGTCTCGGGCAAAGGCCCTAAAGCCGTAGCAGACGAAGGGCCTCTGCTCGAAATATCAATTTTTTTTGTTTAATGTGGGGGGGGGGGGGG